GAGGGACTGGTTGCACAGATGGAGTGAGCCTGCCAGAGCAAGGAATAAGGTAAGAATTACACCTTATTCTTCAACCCTTAAAATAAGCATTTAAAACACTTGCAGTCAAGGAGACGGCCATTGTAAAAAGGTATTTTTTTCTGGTGCCCAGAGTTAGGCTTTAAACAACGGGCCATTTCAGACTCTCTGTCACATAGTAATCAGACTCAATTCTGACAATTAAATCTGAATTCTTTCCGAGTATTCTGGAATGGAGTCTTCCGTATTATCTCCCATTTTTCCCCCTCACCTCTCTCTCCATCCCCAGAACTCGCCCTACTGCATATTAATATTGATATTTTCCCACCGGCAACTCGCACTATTGTTGTGCATATTCTCTATGCAGCTAAATTGTTGATTACCCGTAGATGGTTACAAACAACTCCTCCTAACATCATTGACCTGATTTCATTAGTTAACACCCAATATTCTTATGAAAAGATGTTTGCCATGAAAAATAACTCATATCCTATATTCCTTTCAGCTTGGAGAAAATGGATTGTACATCCATACTGCATTGTTTGATCTCAAATATTGCCTGACGCATAACTGGTCCATACCTTGTCTTCCCTCCTTCCTCCCCTCCTCTCTTTCCACTTGTTTTGTCATCCTCCCTTCCTCCTAACCTCCCTATAAATGGAAATTATATTGCAAAGCATACTGTATCCTGGATGTTAAGTTGGTTATGTTATATGCATTTTGTTATGTATGCTTCACTTGACTTCAATAAAGAACTATTGAAAGTAAATCTGAATTCTTATGAAGCCGTGCACAAACGTCTACAGCCCAAAACAAATAATAAAGAAGGTGCGACGTTTCCCTACATAGAAGGGTTAAAGGGATATGTTTAAGCCATTCACCTAAAGTAATGGACTATGACACAATCATTCATTCTGCAGTCAACTGATGGGTAGCAAGATCATTATAAATTAGTAGATACATGCAACTCCTAATTAAATTAGTAAAAATCGATCTAAATGAATACAATTAGGTTTCAATGAAAAATAGCAATGTGGATTAATTAATATCGAGTGGGAAATTATACATTGAAAGTGAAAAAAAAGAGACAATTAATCTTACTTATTACTTTTAATACACATAATACAATCTATAATGATTATAGGTCTACAGGAGATCCATTAAACAGAACATCAAATCCATGGCACATACTGCCCTCTAGTGTAATGTAAATAATTTCCTTCCTTAGGTTTCCTCATGTTTCTGCAGATATATATTCTTTCTAATGTGAATTTCTGTTCAGCACGATCGATAAGCTGTTAATAGTGAGCTTGATTTATGATAATTGTATTAAAGAACCATTTCTAGCATTAAAAGGAAACCCTTTACCTTTTTTGATGTTCAGAGAAGCCACTGGTAAGATTAACGATTAATCGAGAAATTAATCGTTAATTTGCACACCCCTAATATAATTATTAATACACCCACATAAAAAAAAAAGGGAATATTCTTGATTTTTTTTTTTGCATTGATGTCTAAAAAGCATTACAACCACCATCAGCAAATCATGGGTGCAATGCATAGGCTCCTGCAGACCATTCCTCACCGACAGGTCCATACCTAGGTATGGACCTTCTGTTGTGAGGCTGGAGGAAGTTATAAATGGACTACAAATGTGGTGATGTCACATACTCTTGACCTACTGCGATCTACAAGTCCGTCTGGCGTGGTGGCAGATTGCATTTGTAGTCTTTTAATTCACAGATCTCTGAATGAATGGCATGTGGGCGAAGCAACAAGATGCAGCAGGGAGAAGAACACCACAATTCAGTGCGTGCGTGTTTGGGCTGTAAACTGTGACCATGTTTCATGTTACAGCCTAAATATGGGTGTAACATGAACAATGACCCAAAGGGTGGAATTCGTTTTTGAAGGTGGCAGTGGACAGGCTTCCATACTGTAAAGAGCATCACTGAAGGCTTCTATACTGTAAAAAGCAGCAATGCAGGCTTCCAAATTGTAAAGACCAGCACTACAGGCTCCCATGCTGTAAAGAGCGTCACTACAGGCTCCCATGCTGTAAAGAGCGGCACTACAGGCTCCCATGCTGTAAAGAGCGGCACTACAGGCTCCCATGCTGTAAAGAGCGGCACTACAGGCTCCCATGCTGTAAAGAGCGGCACTACAGGCTCCCATGCTGTAAAGAGCAGCACTGCAGGCTGCTATATTATGAAGAACGGCACTGCAGGCGTCTATACTGTAAAGAGCAGCAATGCAGGCCTCCATGCTGTAAAGAGCGGCACCACAGGCTTCCAAATTGTAAAGAGCGGCACCACAGGCTTCCATGCTGTAAAGAGCGGCACTACAGGCTTCCATGCTGTAAAGAGCAGCACTACAGGCTTCCATACTGTAAAGAGCGGCACTACAGGCTTCCATGCTGTAAAGAGCGGCACTACAGGCTTCCATACTGTAAAGAGCGGCACTGCAGGCTTCCATGCTGTAAAGAGCGGCACTACAGGCTTCCATACTGTAAAGAGCGGCACTACAGGCTTCCATACTGTAAAGAGCGGCACTACAGGCTTCCATACTGTAAAGAGCAGCAATGCAGGCTTCCATACGGTAAAGAGCGGCACTGCAGGCTGCTATACTATGAAGAACGGCACTGCAGGCCCCTATACTGTAAAGCACGGCACCGCAGGCTTCCATACTGAGCGGCATTAATTCAGCACCATTCTTTAGAATTTTACTAAGGTGACGCACCTCCAGAGCATTATCTATGACAGCCTGGGCTCACAGGAAGTGGGCTGAATGACAATGGCAGTCATGCAAAACATAAGAGGACACTCTTCTGGCACTGGAGGTCTGGAATGACGAGTCTGCTGGGGACATCCCTGGAGAAGAGAGTATTGCAGCACGGGCTGTCTGCATACATTAGTAGGTGTGGGGAGAGGTTTGAGAATGAGATTAAATTCTTTTTTTTACAGTCTAGAAACATTTTTAGCAAGTACAAGAACATCTCTTTTGATCCTGCCAGGAATTTTGCATCTTTGTAACTTCTTTTTAATTGAATGAAAATCTCTCAAAACAATGTTATCTGCCGTCTCAGCTATCCTTTGTGAGCTACAGATTACCCTCCATCTTTGTATTAGAGACAGGCAAATGGGGAGGCATTTGTAGTAAAAAAAAAAATCAAAAAAAAAAAAATCAGAAGAGCAGCCTAGGGTGACAACACTGCTCCTCCATAGATATAGAAGAGCGAGTGAGTGTTGTCAGTATAGGACAGGAAGTCACCAGGGGAAAAGAAAAAAAACGCCATACAAAAGAAAAATAATGCAGCCAACGCAGCTGGGGACTGGAAAGCTGCAATAATTTACAGTTTTTGGTTTAGATACATTTTAACTGGCCTGCTGCGTTTCTAGATAATTTTAAATTTAATACAGTATAGTAAAATGCTATCTTTCTAATAAATTGTCTATTGAAAGCATTGCTCAAATACCTGAACTGTTAGCAAATAAAATGTTAGCCTGTGCATGCCTGTCCAAAGCTTTACAGATAGTGACCCAAGTCCCCCGGCTTTTGTTCATATTAAAGCTCCTTCCCCTATACACATCAAAAGGAAAACCAGCAATAGCTTAAAGCAGGTGGATGTGAGACGGAGGTCAGATGCAGGTTATATGGAGGACATATGCAGCCCAAATGCACCTTTCAATGAACTGTGAATTATTATTATTATTATTCAGGATTTATATAGCGCCAACAGAATGCACAGCACTTTACAATATAAGGAAGACATTACAATCACAATACAATTCAAGACAAGATAGTAAGGAGGGCCCTGCCTCTGAGGGCTTACAATCTAAAAGGGAGGGGCCAGTGATACATGAGGAGGTAGCTGTGTGGGGATGAATTGTTTGAGAAAGTGATTGTTCAGTGGTTAGGTTGAGGTGGGATAGGCTTCCCTGAAGAGATGAGTCTTTAGGGAACGCCTAAAGGCAGTCAAGGTGGGCGATAGATGGACAGGTTGGGGTAAAGAGTTCCAGAGGATGGAAGAGACTCTAGAGAAGTCCTGGAGGCGAGCATGGGAGGAGTTGACGAGGGAGCTGGAAAGCAGGAGGTCTTGGGAAGAGTGGAGGGGACGGTTAGGGTGATACTTTGAGACCAGGTTTGAGATATATCCGGGGGCAGAGTTGTGGATGGCTTTGTAAGTGATTGTTAATATTTTGAATTTTATCCTTTGGGCTATTGGAAGCCAGTGCAGGGATTGGCAGAGGGGGGTTGCAGACACTAAGCGGTTGGTATGGTGGATGAGTCTAGTAGCAGCATTCATGATAGACTGGAGGGGAGGAGCCTGTGTAGAGGTCGGCCAATGAGGGTGTTGCAATAGTCAAGACGAGAGATAACAAGGGAGGGGATGAGTAGTTTTGCGGTTTCATTGGTGAGAAAGGGGCATATTTTGGAGATGTTATGAAGGTGAAGGCGGCAGGATTTGGATAGTGATTGGATGTGGGGAAGAAAGGTGAGGTCCGAGTCAAGGATGACACCTAGGACCTTGGCATGGGGGGAGGGCTGGATAGTTGTGTTATCAATGTCAAGGGAAATGTTGGGGGAAGGTGCACCTAGGGGAGGAAATATCATGAGCTCAGTTTTTGAAAGGTTGAGTTTTAAGATATGTTGTGACATTCAGACGGATATGTCAGATAGTAGATTAGTGACACGCAAGGACACCGAGGGGATGAGTTGTGGAGTAGAAAGATATATTTGAGTGTTATCGGCATAGAAATGGTATTGGAAGCCATGTGAGGTTATTAACTGACCAACAGCAGTGGTGTAGATAAAAAAAAGAAGGGGTCCAAGGACTGAGCCTTGTGGAACCCCTACAGAAAGAAGAAGAGGGGAGGAATGACACAGAAGGGTCTCAAATGCAGGACGATTGCACCTAAAAACAAGCTGCATTGACAGAAGTCGAAAATCAGATTAAAATAAAAATAACATATGTTGCTTACCTCTGTAGAAGTTAGCGTTCCTGAGGAACAAGGTGCTGTTCAGAATAGTCAAAACCCAACACAAGGGCATGAGATAGATAATGCAAACAGATCCCAGGAGCAATCCGTACAACCTAATAAAGATTAAAGGTTATATAATACTGTATAGAAATATGCTTTACGCTATAATAAATAAGCTTATGGTGTTAAAACAGTTTAAACATCAATTAAGGTGGAAAAAAAATGACTGTGAAAGTAGGCATTGATTTATTATGGCAGGACCCACGCCAGTAAAACTGGCAAACAAGCAAGGTTTCTGTGTCTCTGATCCGTAAACACACTGACTGCAGGAAACTGCGTTTACAGCACTTTGATTAAGCAGCACGTCTTGGGGAAATGCAATCAGGAGTTTGGCCAGATACAGTTTAGTTTGTGAAATAATTACACCTCAAAATGATTGCTGAATGACTTCCTACACATTAAAGTCATTATTGCTGCCACTCGGTTGATTTTACCAGCTTAAGTGAATATGTGAGAAGAGAAATGATTTTATGTTCATGGCTTATTTACTAAAAAATGACATATATGATGCAGTCTGTCACTTGGATTATAGGAGAAGTATTACCAGAGTAAAATGTACTCTTCCCAATACTTTAAGCTGGTGTCTGATACTGGCTTTATAGATGCCGAACTGGGTGATCACAAACTGCTGATCGCTCAGCTCACAGCCTTCTCCCTGCAGGAGTCACCGCTGTCCGCAGGGATTCCCCCTTCCCTTTCAATGTACTCTTCCCAATACTTTAAGCTGGCGTCTGACACTGCAGGTGTTGCACACTGGCTTTATAGATCAAGAACTGGGTGATCACAAACTGCTGATTGCTCAGCTCACAGTCTTACCTAGTTACATAGTTAGTCAGGTTGAAAAAAAAAAAGACACAAGTCCATCGAGTCCAACCTATAGAGAATTCCCTGCAGGAGTCACTGCTCCCCGCTGGGATTCTCCACTCCCATTTCTGTTGATCCGGTGCTCATTGGAGGGACATTACAGAGAAGGTCGGCGGGCACTGGTGGCTCTAGAGGGGCAGAGCCAACTGTCAATCAGGCGGCGGGGTGGATTCCAACAACATTGTCAGGATCCTTCCCAGCTGCAGTGCACCTCTGCACTGTCAGCACATAGTGGGTAGTAGCCTGCTATATGCTGACTTTGGGTCAAAGGAGTATAATAGTAAATGTTAAGTTCTCTTTTAACTCACAAGTTTTTGTTTTTCTGAACCCTCCTGTAACACGGTTGTATTACCTGTTGATCCTGCCATTAGATCTGTTATCTTTTCACTTTCTTTACCTCCAGCCCCCCAGCTGCAGTAAAACTACAAATTTCATGATGCATCTGCCTTTGCGAGTTATGCCTGTGAGAATCTTGCAATGTCTCATGGGATTTGTAGTTTCACCACAGCCAAAGGGCCGTAGGTTCCCCACCCCTGCTTTACAAGGTGAAATCACACAGTGGTTGGCCAACCAGTGGACAGGTGAGTCTAAGTTATACATGTAGTTTCAAATGAACTATAAATAAGTGACAAGCAAAATAAATCCCAACTAACACTATAATCAATTTTAGCAACTGTTTTTTTTAATGAAAGATCGGATTTTTTTTTGTACTTACTATAAAAAAAAAGTCTTGTAGTGCACTAAGGGGACATGGAAATTCAGATACAGTTGGCCTACAGGAGGATTGGACACTAACAAGCAGAAAAATTGTAAGCCAGTGCAGTATAACCCTTTCTGTTCTCAGCATGTTTCAGCTTGTAGCAAGTATCAGGAGCATGAACACAAACACAGATGGGCAGGACCTGTATCCCTCTATGGATTTTATGGTAAGTACAAAATCCTATCATCTCTTTCATCCATTGAGGGAGACAGGAATTCAGATACAGTCGGGATGTCCAAGAGCAGTCCATCAGAGGTATGGGCTGCAGAGTCAACATCCCATTGCAGGAGTCACCTGAAGGATCAGCACCCAAATCTGAAACGGATGAGATCAAGCACCCTATCAGATAGTTGAACTTGTTAATATGACCAGAAGGAGGGCAGAAAGGCCTACCTAATGCTCAAGACCAGGATAGAAAAGGTCACTGCTAGAGGGGGAATGACTCCCTAAAATCTGAACCATCGACAAGCTGCGCAACCAAAATGCACCAATACAGGTGGAAAAACAGATTCCCATAAAGGGAAGAAAAGATCCACAACTTGATGTGGTCAAAGAAAGGCTGGGGACAACCTCCATAAGCAAGAGGTCACAGGAGGGAACCTAAGACAAAAACTTGCCCAAGACCAGTCGGCCTATACCGATCAGCCATAACATTATGACCAACAGCTTCATATTGAGTAGCTCCCCCTCCTGTCGAGGCATGGACTCCACTAGACCTCTGAAGGTATGCTGTGGTATCTGGTACCAAGCCATCAATAGTAGATCCTTTCAGTCGTGTACGTTGTGGAGTTGGGGGCCCCCTGGATCGGACTTGTTTTTCCAGCACATTCCACAGATTCTCAAATTGGATTGAGATCTGAAGGTCAAGTCAACACCTCAAACTTGTTGTGTTCCTCCAACCATTTTTGAACCATTTTTGCAGAGTGGCAGGGCACATTATCCTGCAGAAACAAGCCACTGCCAACAGGGAATACCGTTACCATGAAGAAGTATACTTAGTCAGCAACAATGTTTAAGTAGGTGGAACGTGTCAAAGTAACATCCACATGCATGGCAGAACCCAAGGTTTCCCAGTAGAACATTGATCAAAGCATCAGCCTGCATCCGCCAGCTTTCATTCTTACATAGTATTTGAGGTTGAATAAATACTCCTGTATATGGTATCTGAGGAAGGTATCTAAATGATTTTTGAATGATTCAATATTTTCTGCTGATACACTATGTTGCCAAAAGTATTGGGACGTCTGCCTTTACACATACATGAACTCTAATGGCATCCCAGTCTTAGTCCGTAGGGTTCAGTATTGAGTTGGCCCACCCTTTGCAACTATAACAGCTTCAACTCTTCTGGGAAGGCGTCCACAAGGTTTAGGAGTGTGTCTATGGGAATGTTGGACCATTCTTCCAGAAGCGCATTTGTGAGGTCAGGTTGGACGAGAAGGCCGGGCTTGCAGTCTCCGCTCTAATTCATCCCAAAGGTGTTCAGGACTCTGTGCAGGCCAGTCAAGTTCCTCCAACCCAAACTCGCTCATCCATGTCTTTATGGACCTTGCTTTGTGCACTGGTGCGCAGTCATGTTGGAACAGGAAACTGTTCCCACAAAGTTGGGAGCATGAAATTATCCAAAATGTCTTGGTATGCTGATGCCTTAAGAGTTCCCTTCACTGGAACTAAGGGGCCAAGCCCAACCCCTGAAAAACAACCCCCCACCATAATCCCCCCTCCGCCAAACTTTACACTTGGCACAATGCAGTCAGGCAAGTATCGTTCTCCTGGCAACCGTCAAACCCAGACACGTCCATTGGATTGCCAGACAGAGAAGGGCGATTCGTCACTGTAGAAGCGACTGCATGCCGAGGTGCTTGATTTTATACACATGTGGCTATGGAGGTGATTGGAACTCCTGGAAATCCAATGATTTGGAGGGGTGTCCCAATACTTTTGGCAATATAGTGCACCGCTGCTTGTGTAAGAGAGTTCCACAATTTTACCGCTCTAACTGAAAAGTAGCCCCTTGTGGTTAAACCTTTTTTCCTACAATTTTAGGTGGTGGCCTCCAGTCGTCTTTAGGGAGTTGTCGATTTTACATGCTTATTGCACCATGATTTTATTACTCTATTATATAGCCAGACCTGTGGCAGGTTTGTAATGAGAAACCAAAGCAGCAATGCATTACTGTTATGCAGCACTTCTAAGCAAGAAGAAGAGTCTGTATGTATAGCCAGCAAATATGGCTCCCCAGGTATACTGTACACCATATAATTACAAGCAATAAAACAAAAAGTTTAAAAAAAATGTGGATAAGATTTACATCACTTTTACATGTGTATCTAAATCATGAAAAGACTGTAGTCTTTTTTTTTGAGTGGGAGTGAGATCAACATAAGGCTAGAATTGCCCATATTTCTATTTTAAAAGTTTTACTTTAAAGAGACCCTGTCCACCACCTTCTAGCCTCACAACTGAACACAAGATCGCCATCTGTATTACGCACTCCTGCCTACTGCAGCAATTTGAAAGGCTAGACGGAGGGCTTTGAAATAGTGTTTCAACACTAGGCTGGCATCTGTTCCAAAACTAAGAGGCCTTCAAGGACTGACAGGAAGAAAAAAAAAAGATAAGAACTGGAGCTCCACACTGGAGTATTGAGTTCCTAAGACAAGTTTATACCAAGAGAGTTGAAGCAGAGTCTGTATAAATAGCCACCGCGTTTTGGGGGCTCACAGGTGCCCCCTTCATCCGAGTTTCAGAATAGATGGAAGGTTTTGGTTACCTTAACATTTACAATTCACAGTATTATGTAAAGCAGCCTTTGTGCATGCTTGTCAGCAGCTGATGGCTGTAGCTTAAGCTTGGTGGGAACACATTTGCTTGTGCACCCTTAGCTTGTCCCAACCATACAACTATTTTTTTTTACATTAATGGTCCCTTAATACTTAATTACTATTACTATCGAGTATTAAAGGGCAAAGTGTGTTTGTGGTCTTGCCTTTCGGAGAATGCCAAAGGACAAAACACTCCCAGACACTCAATTCTGATCGGTTTGCACAATCTAGCCAGTATATTGTAGCAACGGTCGTAGGACATGTGATAGGGACAAAAGAGGAACAGAAACCAATAGCCAGGAAAGACATTTCTGCAGAATGCCTACAAACGTCATGAGTGTTCTTTGACAGCTAGTGCTACTTTGTGTATAAGTAGCTTTATAAGCTACTAATGCATTTAATCAAGATAAATAAGAACAGATGTACAAACGCATAAATATAAACTGACTGCAGCATAATAGAATTAATATCATTTCTATCTTGCAATCCCCCATGCTCCTGACAGCATGTAATTAAAAGACATAACCAATAAGCGTGTGCTTTTTGATGGTAAATGTATTCCGATACTTACTGAAACGAGGCGGAAGGGTTCTGCCAGTACAAGACATGGTAGGCTCTCTCACAGGTGCCACACATGACATTGAGTACGCCTTCAAGCTGTATTAAGCTGAAACAAGATAAATGAAAGCAAATGTTTTTTAAAGGCAATTAATGCTGAATCAAAGCATCTAGAAACATCAGCACCCCACCCCCTATGAGATGTTACAAGGACAGCAAAACACAAAATGGGCACAAAAAGTTCCTACCACGGCTGAGGATGGCAGTGCTTCTGGGAGGTACAGGTGGAGCTGTGGGTGCTCGAAGTTCTGTAAGAATGGACTCCAGCACACTGCAAGAGTACATTCTAAATTTACGAAATGTGCAAGCTGCTGTGCTATCATCATTACTCCCTGTATGAGAAGTGTGCTGAACTTAAAATTGAATGTGGCCCATAATTAGCCATCAGCTTTCAGCTATTATTTTCACTGGCCAGTTATAGAAACAAAACAATTCATCCCACACAGCTACCTCCTCATGTATCCCTTCCCCCTCCCTTTTAGATTGTAAGCCTCCAGGGGGAGGGCCCTTCTTACCATCTTGTCTTGAATTGTATTGTAATGTCTTCCTTATATTGTAAAGCGCTAGGCAAACTGTTGGCGCCATATAAATTCTGAATAATAATAATTGCTGTAGGCAAAAACATGTTTACAATTAGCACACGCTTCATATAACGGGCTTCTAGTGAGCCACTTGCAAGTATGCAGGTCAGGAGCCCGAACAGGCTGCATGACTGTAGCTAAGGTCCATTTTACACTAGCGGTCTGGTCATTGGCAGTAACCTGGCCAGACCAACAAAATGATTCACTTGCTTCTATGGTTTCTGCTCCCTTGCTGGCCACACCAGTGAGGTGTTGCTCCACCAATGCTCTTTCATGGCAAGAGCGATTCTGCTGCACTCCAGTCAGCAAGGGAACAAGTCCCTAGAAGCAAGTAGGTGTTGTGTTCACTGATCGTTCAATCCATTTCCACCAGCAATAGGACAAGTTAACAGTTTACTTGTACATACTGAGCCTGTGTGTTTTGTGCTTGTCAAGCGCCAAATAAACAGCACAGTGTGCCTATGTGCGCCTATGTTGAAGCGGATTTGCGACATGTGCGTCAGAAACTGGAAAAAATAAATAAAATTGCAGTTTGGTGCAGGAATGTCCGTTTCTCCATGCTAAAAAACAAAAACAAACAACATCTGTGCTACAATGTACTGCAGATATTAGACACAGGTCTGTACCTGATCGGACCAGGCACAGATCTGTATATAGGGCTGACTTTCTCTGATAAGCGCCAGTACAGACTCCGAATGGAAGGAGACCGAGATGGGACCTAGCTGAGCAGAGGAGAGGAGGCAAGTCATGTCATGAATGTCCAGATAAGCTTCTCTGCTGCCTGCACTACTCTTTCACCCGGTGATCACTTTCTGATCATGGAGGAGGAGAAGAAGCAATACAGTGAGCTGCTCTAGCTTGCTGTATCATCCCTTTATCACTCCCTGTATCGATGTCAAAGTAAACAGAGCTCCCTTAGGGGATACAGGGCACTGAGCCATGTATTGTTCATTGGGCCCATCGTCATTTATGCCATCTAATGATTTGTCTATAGGTGGAGTTTAACAAGTGATTCTGTCATGTATAGACAAATACTGTGAAAGATATAGAGATATATAGATATAGATCTATATCTATATAAATCGATCGATAGATAGATAGGATAGATAGATATACATATACACACACACACACACTATCTCAGGCCTTCAGCAAAAAGTGGTTTTATAAATTGGTATTGATTTTAAATGATATCACAAAGTCAATTAATTTATATTTACATGTCATTGGTTGTTTCAATAAATTATATTGATGGATACGGTGGGTAGAGCTATTGGACGCAGGTCATCATTGTGTCATATACATATATGTGTCATATACAGGTCCTCCTTGTGTCGTATACAGTTTAAATAAAGCGATTCTTCACAAGTAATACGGCACACTATACTGCTGTGTCCTAGTGGCATGGCACACCCAGAGGAAGTAAACTCATCAGAGCCCAGTCCTTTCAAGCAATGAGGAAACACTCACAAGCTCTTGAACTCGGCCACTGCCTCTTGCCGAGTGAGTTTCACTTTCTGCAGATCCTCGCGCTGCACACAGTAATATTTCCTCCTGGCCAGCTCGGCTTCAGGAATGCGTTTGCGTGACATCTCCTGCAGATATCCAATAAGCGCAGGAATGGAGACGAGGAGGGCTCCCACAGAGAACCAGGCAACTGCAAGAGGCAGATTATACATTTTAGGAGCAAGCAGAGGATAAGCCGTCAGTAATATTATTAACCTACATTACTCATGCTTCCTAAAATATACTAGAAAAGCAAAATGTTTACCCCTAAAGCTGAACTTCAGATTAATATGAAAAATAATTCAGTAATGTGTTCATTAACCACTTGATGACCGGGGTGTTTAAACCCCCTTCCCATCCAGGCCATTTTTCAGTGTTCAGCGCTGCGGTACTTTGACTGACATTTATTCCGTCATGCAGCGCTGTACTGAAATTAATTTTATACCATTTTTTGGGGACAGATAGAGCTTTCTTTTGGTGGTATTTAATCACCACTGGGGGTTTTATTTTTTACTATATTAAGCAAAAATTACCTGGGGGGGGGAAAAAAAAAAAAACCCTGTTTCCCCTATATTAAATGATAAAACATTTATTACCCAATTTTTTGGTAAAATATAAAAGACGGGGTCACGTCGGGTAAAAAGACACCAAACATGTCAAGCCTTAAAATTGCGTGAGCTCGCGAAACCTCAAAAAACTATAACTAATACCCAAAATTGGCCATAGGCGATGCTTTAAAAGCTTTTACCGCTCATCAGTTTAGGGTTATCAGTGATTGGTGGCCCTAAAATGATTGCTCTCACTGCGACGTTTATATGTGCGTAAACGTGGGGGTGGGGGACTTAAGAATTTTTGGGGTTTTTTTTAAACTCTTTTGATGTTTTTTTTACACTTAATGTCATTGCTATTACATAGGGGGGTAAAAATCCCCCTATACAATAGCAAAGGCACACTGACAGGTCCTCTTTATGGAGTCATTAGGGGTCTCCAAGACCCCTAATGTCACCTGGGGACCCCAAAAGAAGCTGATAAAGCAGAGATCTGCTTCATCAGCTTCTTCTCTCTGGCAATAGCAGCCAAATGACTGACAGGTGATGCAGAAGTGATGTATTACACATTACTTCCGCATTCACAGCACGGAGGGAGATCAGCAAGGAGGAAGATGCTGATCTCCTGGGGGGGGGTTGTCAGGAGGCGGCACAATCACGGAGCTGGCATTTGAGGGGGGTCGCGCCGCCAGCACATACACACGATCGGCAGTCTATAGAGCCGCCAATCGTGTATATGTGAAACAGCCGGTAACGGCTCTTTACATTGGACGGGTTTTTTCTGCCTGGGCGCGCGCAGAAAAAAAAATGCCGTCTAGAGACATACCCCGCCAATGCAACTGTGCCGTCCGTCCGTGCGGACGGCAACTGGTTAGGTCAAAATTAATTACTAGCATTATTACCTTATTATTCTATCAGCCTCCTATCCTTTCCTGAACAGCGATATGAACAGAGGACTATATTGTGGGACCGCCCCAGAACGCGGGAATTGCTGTACCACGTGCTCTGATGCAGGCGATCGCACTGTGGGCAGGAGACGTGTCTGCTGTGTCATTGACATGAATGGCACCACCACGCCCCCTCCAACCCCAGAACACGGGAGGCTTGGTTTAAGCGATCCAGTGCAGTCCAGGCACGAATGCACTGGATAAGGTGTGGACCGGCCCTCAATCAGTAGTAATCTTTGCAGTAGGCAGGGTGACCAGAGGTACTGGAGATCCAAATATAAGGACATCCGTAGCCCTCATTCACACGGGCCTCCAGTGTTTGTTTAATTCTAACACAGGATATATTGATTTGGGAATTATACAGGGCTCTTCACAAAAGGGTGAAGAGTTTGGAGAAGGTGGGAGAAGTGAACAATCTAAAAAGGTCCCCACACACCTTACGATAATCGTATGATAATCGCGGGAAATCCCACGATCGTACGATTATCATAAGGTGTGTGGAAGCTGTGCGACCTCTACTACTGTAAGGTCGCACGACTTTAAACTTACGAACATCGTACGATGTTCGGCGGGTGTGTAGCATGTTCGGAGCAGTGGCGCGCTGCCTTCGCGAGCAGTGTGTCATGTAATTTTCTCCTCGGCACGTCAGCTTGCGATGAAAAATTTAATCTTCAGCCAATTGTCTCGCAATTATGGCTCGCAATTATAAACCCGCGACTCAGCATGCGACTTCTGGCTGGTTGTTACGCACGAGCCGATTGGCTGAAGGTGCAGTCAATCATCTGTCTGCAGTTAGCTCACACACTGCGCGCAAAGCTCCGTGCTGGACAGCTTTGCTTCGCTCTGCACGGCTTTGCGTGCAGTGTGTCACGGGCTTTAGACATGAGATAGTTTACATGGACTGGCTGTATTTGGCTGGACTGGGTGATAGTCTCTTGCAGTTTTCCTAGTAGACTGGGGGAAGGGGGGTGCACGCAATCAGTGTGGGGGATAGTTTGGTTGGGTGCTGGTGGAGAGTGGCGCCCTTCTCTCCTAAAATCTCCCCAGCTAGATTTTAGCTAACCTGGGACACTCTGGCTGGAAAGGGGGCAGCAAACACACTGCAAACATCATGCAGCAGAGCGGACATGCCGCTCTGCCACCCCCTCACGTGAGTCCCAGAAATACTTGCCTGACCCAGCAGCATTACCCTGTTTCCCCGAAAATAAGACCTACCCTGAAAATAAGACCTAGTACTATTTTTGTGAATTGATAAAATATAAGACCTACTCCGAAAATAAGACATAGTTGTGACCATTCCCAGGGCTGGTGGTGGCATAAGGGGGAACTTGAAGAGCCGTGGGAGAGAATCAGCGGTGCCAACTAAGCCAGTGCTAGAGGAAGCGAGGCGGCTCCGGAGGGAGCAGAGCCGCATAAGCCGATGCTTCCTCTATAGTGCCGGCTATGATTGCCCTGATCACCCTATTCCTAAATTTGCCACTCACTCCTGTCTTCTACCGGTATTATGGTATGGTAAGACCTACCCTGAAAAGACCTAGTGTGTTTTTTTAAACAAAAAAATATATAAGACAGTGCCTTTTTTGGGGGGAAAAACGGTAGGCTGCCTCATTAAAAGGGACGGCCATGACCTCTCATCTTCTGCCTTACCCTGAGCAAGGTGGTCACCCATTGTTTTGGACGGAGGGGCAGTCAATCGGGCAAGTTAAAAAAAGGGGTTTAAATCACCATCTCTTTCCTGATAATTCAGTGCCAGCTCTTCCTCCCCGGGTTGATGTTGCGTGCACTGGACATACAAGACTTCTTCAGCATACAGACAAATATTAAACATGTTAAACTAGAAGTCATCACATTTTCATTTATCAGGGTTCTCACACTCCAATCTCCTGTGTAAGCGGCTATTCACTGTAACAGTCCCCTACACCTGCCTATGACAGGCTTGTCATCTGTCTCTTGGCTTTGCAGTAATCCTGGCACATTGTTGCCAGCATTTTCTTCCTAATCTATGTACGCAACAGTGAAAGCAAACAATCCACACCCCATTATATGAAAGAGGAACAAAGACTTGCTTAGAGGCAATGAGTTACAGATCCTGTGATATTATTTCCAAATGTAATTTAAGTCCTTTAAGGAAACATTTTGTTAAGAGAAACACGGACAATGCCATCGCTGCCCTCTGTTTATGCACAGCTAGTTGCCTGGCTGTCATGGCTTTAACACTTCGGGGGTCTATTTATAAACAATTTGCAGAGCCAATAACCATGAGAATCTCTGTAAATGTGCGTTCTGTGTGAACGGAGGCAAAAACTAATGTTAAGTGTAATTTATTGTGGCATCTGGAAAATACCATTCCAGATCCCTGGTAAGGGATCTGGAACATTGTGAGAGACTTGAGGGCACTGTAGGGGCTGGAGAACACTATGGGACACTGTTGGAGGTTAGGGCACTGTGGGTTCCTGGATGCTCTGCAGTAGTCTGGGAAGCACTATGGGAGGTTAGGGGGTCACTGTTGGGGTCTCTCTGGGGGGGCCTGGGGACACTGCAGAGGGTTCAGAAACAAAGTGGGCCTCTGTGGGAGGGTGTAGGGCACTGTGTTATTGTGGGAGGTTAAGGGGTTCTAAGGGGTCCGGGGGGAACACTGTGGGGGGGTGAGAAACAATACGGGCACTGTGGGAGGCTGAAGGGCATTGTGGGAGGCTGGGATATCTCCAGCTGACTGGAGGTCCTCATGGGGGTGTGGAGACACAGTGGAGGCTGAATACAGTAGATAATCCGCCCCGCCTTCTCCCACTTCGCTCAGATCTGCTATCAATAGAAGCTCCCACTGGAACTAAAGCCCTTTCTCTTCCCTCGGTCATGTCATGTCATGACTGGGAAGAGGAAGTATGGGACTTCCTATCCTTATGGCAGGGCTGCTACTGCTCGGCATAAATCATTTAT